AAAGGAGGTTAAATTCCAAGCCCCCCAGAGACTTTGCGAACATCTCTGGGGCCACTGGATCTCCTGCTAACATTTCACTGTCTCTCCGGGACAGCTTGGGTCCAAAAAGGAACCGTCCAAGTGCTTCGGAATAGGGGAATTTCAGGAATAGCCTGAAAATCCATCTTCTCACTGCTAAGCCCCGCCTTCTTCCCGGATTGCTTTGTTTTTCTTACACACAACATGAACTCTAAGTTTTGATTATTGGCAGATATTGTAATAACAACAATAATTTTAACTGGAGGTCATTTAGCACAAAATTTGTCATAACATTTCCAATTCTTAGCTACATGTTTCTATGACACTTCTTTTAGAGAAAGTTTAAGCGTAAGGCACAGTATTCTCTTGCTACATTACCAACAATAATCCTATAAATTAGCTTTTGTAAAAGCTAAGGTTTAGAGGGAATGTAGTGAATATAATTCCTTATAACAATTATACCATTGGCCATATACAATGTTTTCTCTAGAGACTGGCAAGTGGCTTTCAGGCAAAAATTTTAAAAAGGTGGGCACTTTTTCTAAAATAACTCTCTCATATGCTTTTTGAAAATTATGCTATATTATTCTTTTTTTAAAAAGCCTATTAAATCAGTTAAATCTACTGGTAACTGGGACTTTAATAAAAGATTATAACTTAAACAATATCCCAGTATTAAATACAACTAATATTGTTTTAGAAGTAATTAGCTTATTTATATGAAACTATTATTTATATTTAATCCATTACAAATCAAAACACATAGTTTGCATACTATTGTGGAATACCAGGAATATTGTCGTTTTCAATAATATTTTAATAAAAAGTTTGTTGATATAATAAAATGCATGTTAAGCTTTTAAAAATATTATGGTTTTTCAAATGTATTATTAGAAATATAACAGAATCAAAAAACTGTATTAGTTCATACTAATCTATTACTAATCTATTTCTAATAAAATCCCTCCCATGCCTTTACTTTCTGTGCCATAATGCAATATTTTGTTACAATGTACTGAATTGGGAGATTAGAAGTTATGTTTTTACTATTACATATAAATGTTTTCATTACAAATGAGAACTGTTTTGAATTACTTCAAGGAGTTTGAGAAAAATTATATAACAGGTTTCCTTGATTTGAACACAGCACAATGCAATTTTGCTAGACATAGGAATGGATTTTTTTTTAAAAAAAAATCTTATTTATATAACACCTTCATCTACAAAGGACTTAGTTAAAAGGTGTCAGAGTTAGCTAAAGTTCGTTATAATATGGGTGTTCTAAATAGATAAAATAAATCAAAAATTTAAATATCCATTGAAAATAATCAACATCTCTAATCACAAGCAGAAAAAAGCAAGATAATGAGAAACATAATTTAACGTCACATCCTAGAATATATTTACATTAAGACACATGAGAGAAATCAGAAAGAAACATGAGAATAATGTTTGTTTTCCAGTTGGAAAACTAAGATTTTGCTCTAAGTACATTTGAACTATGTTTCCAATTTCCAACTCCTTATAGGAGTTATCCCAACCCCAAACAAATATGATATTTTAAGTAGTATGTCAAAAACTATTATCAATGAAAGTTCATACCTGACTAGAGCAAGGGCTCTGTTTACTCTCTCCTCAAGGCCAGTTGTCCCCAGAGCTTTCCATGTCATCCAGAATTTAAATGCATCTGCTCTTCTGCTACACTGAATGGATTTATCACCTGTGTCATAGCTGATGTCATAAAATTTGTCTTGCTGGAACAGATATGAGGCATTGGCAGAGTAGCACCTCTTAAGCAAGTCCTGAAAAACAAAATCAAACAGGATTAAAAATCTTTACGGTATTCAGGATAACACATTAATTTCTGGTATATAACAAAAACAACCAATATTGCACAACTTAGCATCTTTAGAAACAAAAGGGCCATAAGCAATTGTTTTAAAATAGGTTAAAAAAGAATAATGGAACCACAAATTCAGGAGCACCAACATTCTTCAAAAGAAAGGGACAGGATTTAAAGATGAATTATGTAGTCAAATTATTATTTTAGGAAAACACAGTTTTCATGGCACTGGTCTAAGTATTATAGATTTTTTAAAAGATAAACATTTACTACTTTAAGAACCTAGTTAAAACTCAATAATCTTTTCTTATTCCAAATTTCTATTTTAAGTTAAAAGAATTGCTTCAGTTGCTTCTTTTTGCTTCACAGCTAGAGGCAGCCCATTCAAGACACTATTGTACAAAGTAGCGGGAATTCCTCCTCATTCTTTTTATGGCCCTTTCAAATTTCCACATTTGCAACCACGGCTTTTTTACCCTAAAATAAAAACAAATACTATTCAATTTTCATTTTACTTCAAGTTTCTTTTCTGGTAGATTTCATAGCAGCAAAACAACCACATCTACTCTTAGTAGGATCTATAGTTGAATGCTTTGTGACCCTTAGTTACCTAGAGATAGTAAAGGGCAACAAAGAGAATGACTTTGCCTTTAAGATGACACTGCAACTGTAATAAATACATGTAGTTCTCCTGTGATGGAATTTTGATCATGTGATTACAGAGAAGTTGCAACTGTCCTAAGTATGAAAAATGATTATAAGTCACCTTTTTAAATACAATTGTGCTTCGAAAGGCCACTAAAGGAATGGTTGTAAGTCGAAGACTATCTGTTAAGAAAAGTCTATTGAGTTTTAAATAAATTCTTACTGAAGCTATTAAAGAGCTTCACAAGATTCCTTCCAGAATTTCTAATGACATATTTTCTTCAACGCCAATGGAACCACTTTCACAGCCACAAAGTGTTCTAATGCCCACTAGACTTGAAATGTTTCTTTATCATCATGCCTCAAAATTTATGATATAATCGGCTGCTTTTGCACAAAAAAGCAGATACAAGTACAAATCAACTTTCATCTTCTTTCAAAATTTTATAATAGGCTATGTTTAAACCTAATAGCAAAGAACCTCCTTTATTACAAAATAATCTACATTTAAAAAAAAATATTCTATTAGTTATTGATCTGTCTTCGCTCTTTACATTATTTCCATGGAAAATACCATTGCAAAAACACCAACATTGAATGCAAAATATTAAACTACTCTGAATATGCCTTGAAAACGACTTCATGAAGATCAAAGTCGTCAGTTAAAGATATATGAAGACAATAATTAAGGGATGCAAGGTCTAAGGCTTCAAGAAAGCATCAAAATAAAAAATGAGTAATCTAAACATACTCAAGCATACAAAGTTTATGTAGACTTGGTTTATTTGGCATGAGCTTAAGAGTATTGTGTGAATTTAGTCATCATTGTCTATAAAACGCTTAGTGTGATATGTGAACCAAGCCAAAATAAGAAATCTTCCTATACTTCAGATACTCATTATACAATATTGCCTTACTTTTAAGCCATGCTAGAATTCTGAATCTTTTTCCTCTGGAAAATAAAAATATATTATTCCATATAGTTGAAAACCTTTGTTAAACATAAGATAAGTTTTTATTCTAGAAGAATTCCCTTTCCTACTGCTTGTTAGATTTCAGAAATCAAGAATGCCAAGGACATTGCTTGCTTTTATAGGAATGTTTACATTCTAATTAACTAATGTCATCTATAAAATAATCTATACAAATCTCTATGTTAAATACAAGACATCAGTGAAATATGAACTGAATAAAACCATATGACCAAAAATAGAATTATTACATTGATTGACGTATGTATTCCAACCTGTTTACAAGCTTGAGGTCTTCTAAGTTAGCAACAATAATCTAACATTCCATGCATTTTCCCAGCAGTTTTAGAAACAAAGTTATAAGTAAAGCTTTTCACATATTGTGAAAAGGGATTAGGACCTGAAAAAAAGAAGCTTCTTAAGACTTACTGAAACTTCCTTAGGGAGATTATAGCAGAAATGAACTACCTCACAACTGAACCTCAATGTTAGAATTCTGAGTATGTAAATTCTGTGTAAATAGGAAATACAAGCATTTTTATGTAAATAATGTTTGGGCTTTTGAGAAGTGTATGAATTCAGGGTAAATCTCACAGCCAAATTCACACAACAGGATATGAGAAAGATATAAACAAAAACCAGGGATTATGAAAATAATATTTAATTTCATGAAATCATGGCATGATAGTATTGAAATTTCCTGGTATTTGTTGTTCCTTGGAATGAGGCATTACTTGAAAAACTAGTATAAATGATTAAACAATTGTTTAATTCTGAATCATATGATACAGAATAGATTGGTATACAATGCAGTTGGTTCTCATTTAACAACACAAATTGGTAACAGAAATTATGTCATTAGTGAGAGTCATAAGTTATCAATGGGATTTCTGGAAGTTCTAGTTGCGATTGTTAAGCAAGGGCCACACAGTTATTAAGCAAGGATCTCTCACAACTGCGACTTGCAACTTCCTGGTGGCTTCCCTGAAAGCTGACTTTGCTTGATGGAAGCAAGTGGGGAGAATGCTGTGACACTGTTAAGGTATCCAATTGTCACTAGCATTCATTAAGTGCTATGGTAAGCTTGAATGTTCATTAAATGAATGGTCATTAAATGAGTACTGCCTATATATAGATGTAGGAATATAGATAAGTTCAAATGTTTTGATCTACAGTTTCAACCTATCCAAACTATCATCTGCAATGAGAAGAAATGCAATAGTCCTACACTTAATATATAGACATTGTCAGGTTATCTACCCCTACTTAACAGGTGAGAAAAAGATTTTTTTTTGTAATCTCTAACCGGAGAGTCAAATCCTTTTATTATGAAAATATACACACTATTTTTTATAGTTTTCAGTAATTAAAAAAATAAGATTTTCATAAGATAGTGAGAAATTGAAGAGTATACATTGATTGGGATTGAAATTGCATAGCTAAGAATTGATAATTGTGATAAGCTAACTAGTAAGAACTAATTAGAAAAAAAACATAAAAAAGAGAAAAAGCTGAAGCTAGCAATTGTGAGGCAACCGTAGCTATATTGAATAGTTGATTTCAGAAATAAAAATGAAGTCATACTGGTCTACACTTTTAAGTATATTTAAGCAATTTTATTGTGAAAAGCTGATTAACAAAAGGAAAATCAAGGTGGTGTATTATTAATTTATTCATGTAATTTATAGGAAGACTTTATGTCCAAATTTTGGTTAAAAGGAACCAAAAGTACTAATAAAATTAATAGGATACATAATCTCAAACATGTTAATGACATACTTCATGAAGTACATATATGAAATACATATCCACACATGCACACACATACATGCAAACAGGAAGACACCTTATGTGGATGAGCATTTCTCATCCACATAAGAATCAACCATAAATTATTTTGAAGGTGAAGAGCAAAATAATAATAATAATAATAATAATAATAACAA